TTTTTCTATAGAAATTTAGAAGGTAGCTATAGTTTTCGCTAAGAAATATATAGTGGAAAATCAAGTTTTATTAAGTAAATAGATAATATCTTACTATTTCGCTTCAAGTATCTAAAGTATCTAGAGCACTTAAACTACTAGAATATTACTAGGTTTTACTTATTAGATAAGAAAAATTCGTGTAAACAGTTCTAAGTCTAGTTTATTAAATAGAATAGAGAATAGTATAATTAAGTAAGTTTAATAAAGAAATTTATAATAAAATTAAATTTTATCTACTTAATATTTAAAAGCATAGATAATGGATTTTTTTATAAGTAGATAGAAGTTAAGTAAGAAAGAGAATTCTAAGATTTTATTATAATTTATACTTTCTTATTTACTAAATAATCTAAGACTACTCTAAGCTCTTTAAGCGCTCTAATTTAGATAGTCTATTTATAAATACTCTAAGTAGCTTATAAGTATATTTAAGTGCTCTAAGTAACTTTAAGTGCTTATAATATAACCTAATTTCCTAAGTGAGTAAAAGGTTTGTAGATCTAGTTGATTTACAAAACAAAGTATCGATATCTTAGAAGACACTTTTGTATTCTATAACTTAATCTACTAGGTTTTGCTAGTAATATTAACTCTTATCTTATTCACTTCGTCTTAGCACTTCTTTCTTCTTACTTAATTAAGATTCCAACCACGTTATATTAGACAACTTAGAGCCGCTCGAAGTAAGATTGCTAGAGACAAGCGAGTTTACTAAACACTAATACACTCTCCTAACAGCCTTAGCCTCTGTAACTCCTTAAGCATCCGCTTCTAGCTCCCAAAAGCCGTTCTAGCGCCGGAGTCCTGCGCCGCCTTGCTTCTTATCTTTCTCGTCTTCAGTCTGCCTGTTGTCCCTTCTTGTAATTCCACTTCCTTGGCGTCTCCTTAGGGCTACGGCATATCATAGGCACCCTAATCGCCCGGAACGCGAGGGCGAGAACAAATATGAAGAGGGAGAGGTACATAAGCCAGCAGAGACATCGGATACGAGTAGCCTGTTGGCGGGGTTTGGAGGTGTTGTTTGCGGGTTTGATGGGTTCTGGAGGTTTGGTTGAGGGGATGGTTGCATTTTGGCTTGTTGCGGCTTGTGCTGTTCAAGACGGTGTCAGTCGTGATTGTACGTTTGGCAGAAGACGCGTGGGTGGGTGGGTGGGCACCAGGGACTGTAGGGGAAGGGCGTATCGTACTAGCCTGCCATCTCGCTGTTCGCCGTATCGCGTAGCGCGAATCCATCGAGCCCCGCCTTGATGATTTCCTTCTAGTAATTCGGTCGTAGAATAGCACCGCGGTAGCGAGGGATCGAAGAGACTCTTTGCTTACAGATGTTTGTGTAATGCAGGGAGATGGTGAAGAACGGAGGGAGAGAATTTCTGCTAGGACAGGAAGCTGGTGTGGAAGCGGGATGCTGCATATTTGCGCGCTTCTTGTTTGACGACAGCTCTAAAGTCTGAACAAAGAGAAGTTGGGAAAAAGCGCATGTTCTCTGTATCGAGTGAAACGGAGACCGAATCGGGAACGGCGACCGTATCGAATAAGGGAGATTAGACAAAGCGCACACTCTCTGTATCGTGTACTCCGGCACAAATACGCGAACTGGGAGCGGCATAGTGAAGAACGAATCGATACCGTGTCTGCAGATTATGCTACTGATATAAGTATTGCAGGGCGAGCAGCGAGAGAACTTCTGACTCTTTTGGAATATGGAGAGCTGAGAGGTATAGGTACTTAAAGCCGGCAAGGGCGAGCTGCAGATCGTCTCTTGTCAAGCAACCGAGTGCCTTGCAACTTGTGCTTATGTTTCTTTGTCAATTCCGCAATTGTGAAGCAATACCGCAACATCGCACATTACACTATCATAATACCAACCTGCCAAAAATCCATCACACAATCTCTCGTGTCTGCAACTGGAATAAGCTTGGATTGGGAAGCCCTATGCATTCTGCGCCGACAGCCCGCTCATCGTCCTCACGAAGCGTATGTATCGTCTTACATTACCAAATCTCCCGTCTCTGTCTTTGGCAAGTCTCACACCTCCTAGCTAGGCTCTCTCTCGAACCCTCGAACGCCCATACCCGCGTCCCCGCTGCCTCCGCCTGCCTCCTAACCCTCCAACCCTCCCAATGCCTCCGCTCGAACCAACCATCCGGATCAATCCTCCTCCCCCGCCCGTCCTCGCCTCCCTCTCTGTACGCACTCGCGCCCGTAAACATGAAGAAGCCCGCCTCCGCGCCTAGTAAAATCGTCTACACGCCTCCTCCGCATCCGCCTGTAGCATAGCTACAGCGAGTACGCCGCCAGCGGCCCTCATCGCCCTGGAACAGAACCGACGAGGAACCAGCGTGACAAGCTCCGACACTTTCAGCTCTTCCTGACCGTAACACCTTCCGTCCGTCGTTCGAGGCCGTTCAGGGCAGGGCGAGACCTAACAGCCGTGGTGGTATTTGGCCTACTGCTGAGTGCCCGCACTTCATACAATAAGGCCAGAGTAGCTAAGTGCACGCGCTATCCGGGAAAGGCGATGGAGAAAGGACCGAGACGAGTTTCTTAAAGGAAGATAGTTACGCACTAACTTATTGGACTGCGGTCGCTAGGCTAAGAGAAGAGGTGGATTAGTTACAGGTTCTTCGGCTAGTAGAGCTGGGCGGATGGGGGTATGGTCGAGGTACAGGAGTCGAGTTCACGGCGATTTGGGCGATTTGGGCGTGAATCATTGAATGAGGATTGTTGATTGGAGTCAGATGGAGGGAATTGCCAGTGCATCTGGTGCGTGCTAGTACTAAGGACGTTGGACACGGTGTCTTGGAGAGAAGCTGAAGGGTGCAAGGGTGTAAGGCAATGGTGCAAGGGAAGGGTGCAGGAGACAAGAGCGGAAGGCAAAGAGACTATGCGTCAAACCGCCTTGAGCGCTCTCGCTTGAAAGCAAGTCAAAGTCTGTTATAGCTGAAGACTAAAGTTCACGACCGTCGTCTCCCACTCTGTCCTGGCGCAGGGAATAGCCGCTGGATCAAGACCAATCACAGGCCGTTATCGACGCCATCGTTGGCGCTGTCCTGTCCGCAGCCGCCCGTATCAACTACGTCTGAAGCAGCATTTGTAGAAGACGGATTTGAGTATCAGCTCTATATCGGTAAAAATTTCCGCCGCATGCCGCATTCTTCGCTCTACCAGTTCAATCTACCAGCGCGCGGTATTTAGAATTACCACCCAGGATTTCAATTATACGGCCGGGATTGATGAGATTTGCGCCGGCAAGCACGCTCTTAGCGTTCCCTACCAGCCTCCTCTAGTAACTCCAGCTCCAATCTTTACGCCTTCGCAAGCCGGCATAGCTCCATTCTATAACTCCATTTTAAAACGGAAGCAGGCCGCCACCACAAAGGCGTCTACACGTGTAAACGCTCCGAGTTCGCGCATCTCGGTCGTGGCGCGGCACCGCCTCGTCACGCAACCCTCTACTCAAGCCTCCGCGTTTCTAGAAGGCCTCACCAATATGGTCCAGCCCTCCTAGCTCCGCATGTTCAACCAATTTGAGCTCTAAGCATCCTCCTCCCTCCATATCGCCGAGAAGTCGGCGCCCAGCTTCAAAAAACCGTTCCTTAAAGGCTAGCCCGACGGAGCCTACAGCTCCGGCGTGGCTGCCTTCAGTAACGCTATTGGTGTTGCCGTTATGGCCAGAGGCCGGTTAACCCCCGGACCACCGCCTTCGCGCCTCCCCATACTATCGTTAAGGCCTATAAGCGCTTTGCGGCGTTCTATACGAACAAGCACTCCCACCATAACCTGGCGTGGCTGTCGCAGCTCTGTAAAGGCGAAATCCGCGCCAATTACATGCCCGCGGGGCTCACATTCAGGGCCTTCGCCCTTAGAAACACGCCGAGCGAGGCATCCAGATTCTCTTTTTTGAGCTTCGTCGACTCTTCCATCTCCTCGTATGAGACCGTCTCGGCGTTGTTAAGGAGCAGCAAGATCGCCACTTGGACGAGATAGAAGACTTCACGTCTATCATTAAGACTGCGAAGATCACCTTCTCTAGGCCACTAGCCTTCCTTGAATGATGTTAGCTCCGCTTTGCGCATAGCATCTCTAAGCAGGCACCGCTCTCTTCGACTTTCTTCCTACGTTCCTTTCCTCTGTTAGGTTCATATTGCTCTTCAGCATCACCTTCTCGCCAACGCGATCAAAAAGGAAACCGCTGGCGAAAAGCACCGTGAGCGCATCCTCCGAGTCTTATGTGTTAGGAAACAGGACGCTTGCGTGGGCGGCGCCTACATCTACTCGGATCCGCGGCTCTGGCCGTTGCTGCGATGCGCTGTTCCCAGCTCGCCAAATCCTCACTGTCTTACTAGTGTCTGACTTTCTTGCTCTCTGCATTCCGCTGGCTTGGTGGCAGTCGGAATACAGAGCGAGAGAGCGACCTTCCCACTATCTTGTATGGCGAGAAGGGCATAGTGGACGCAGGCAGCATCAAATAGAAGGGAAGACGTAGAGGCGCTGGCGTGATGTATGTACATAATCCATTACAAATAGCGATCTCAGATCAGATCTAATCTAATCTGATTCATCTCAACTTGTGACAGCGGATTGACGTTTCTGGATCGTTGTCAACATGGCTCCATCCCAAACGGCAGAGCTAAAACGTATCGCGCGGTGCTCTTGCCCATGTACATCGTGTAGCTGCATAAGGCCGTTTCCCCGCGATCGGAGAATGGGTATATAGGTTTCTGGAACTAAATGTGATTCATATTTACGGAGAGCGAGGGCTATATAAAGAAACAGAAGCTATGACCATTCTACTATGAGTTACATTGATTCAGGGCATAGCTGGCTAAAGCACTTCGCCTTTTCCTGTTTACATCGAACCGTCAGTAAGTAGCCCAGCAGAGCCAAAGTGAGCCCTTGAAACAGTCGAAACCTCCGCCGAGCTCCAGTTCTCCTGCAGGATTGAAGCACCAGGACCGTTAAACCACAACCCTTGCCTTGATGAAGGCAGCCGCATCTGGAGCATCAATGTTGTAGTTTAGGTGTGTTGGCGTGATGACCGCAGTCCCTGCCTCACAGACCTGGTCGCCCTGGTGGCAGTACTTCTTGACGTTCGCCTGGTTGACATTGGCAACAGGCTCCTTCTGCTTGGGGTCGCCGAAGACGGTGACGGCCTAGTTACCAAGTCAGCATCAACCCGTGATAACGGTGTGGTGGTCCGTTTAGTGATGGCTCATCTACAACTTACCTTGATCTTGCTCGCCGTGGCAGTATCCAGCATCATCGCAGCATTATGCACCAACTGCGCCCCCTGGCTATATCCCGCGAGCACAACCTGCGTTTGAGGACACCTGGCGACCGCATCCCGCGTCAACTGCGCCATCTTCTGGCTCCCCGCCGCATCGCCTCCCTGGAGCGCCCCCGCCCAACTAGCCGCGTAGTCGACGCCCTGGACAGCGAGGTTCGCGGCGCCCCCAATCGCCTTGCCAAGTTCGGTGGCTAGGGGAGGACCAACGGCTCTGCCCATGTTACCGGACTCAGTGGTGCCGCGGGCGAAGATGAGGGAGACCTTTTTACACGGGGAGCCGTTGGTAAGGTCGTTTTGGATTGTTGAGGAGAAGTCTCGGGAGAGAAGGGTAAGGGGAAAGGCAGCAGTGAGGGTGGAGAAAAAGGTTATAGCTTGGAGGGTGAGGAACTTCATCTTGAAAGATAGCGATGGCTAATTTCAATTGTAGGATAGGGTAGATAGGTGTCAAGTGAGAGAATAGAAGAGGATGGAAGTAAAGAAGTTCGCCAGGAACTGGGGGAGCGAGAGGGAGTAAGGAGGGGAAGGAGAGTAATAGACACAGACGTGCTAAAGAGAGGAAACCTACTTTCGAGGTTGCACAACTACTCTTATATCTGCCGCAGCCATCCCGAAGCCATCCCGCAAAGTTGCGGCGCCACGACGCAGGAACTCCCTGCGAAACAACCCTCTCCCCCGCGTAATGTCGATCAATCTCACCCTAGGGTCCTGCACTAGACATGAAGAGGTAGGTGCGATAGAGACCAAGCTTCTAAACAAGCCTCCTCGATCGCCTACGTTGCAGCTGGCGTGGAGGGCTGCAGGATTATCGTGTAGTCTAGATCTGCGCACTGCTTGTGCCTCGGCTCAACCATTCGACGGTTGCTGATCTGGGAAATTAACGGTGAAACTTGGGTATTTCGCCTTGTTGATTGGAACTCCGGCAGCGGAAAGAAGGCTCGTTCCGGATTAGTAGATCTTTCCTAGAAAATCCACCCCGCAGTCTACGCCTGCCGGCTCCGGAGATGTGAATCTCGACTGCAAGGTCTTCTGTTAGTGCGCAGCCCTGAAAGCAGTACAAGCGATTCCCAAGTGCTGACTGGTAGCCTCCCATACTCTCGCGCCGTCGCCCCACTGGATTTCGACCACTCAGACTACTGTATTAATGTGGAAGTGGATGTTTTTAGTTACAGATAACGCGTCTCACTACCACCTTGGACACTTATTGTATGAGTCGTCTGATAAACTTAGATTTTAATATCTTTACCGCTCGCGAGCCGCTCGCGGAGCGCTCGGAGCGTTCTAAACATCTTGGATGTTTTAGACTAGAACCAATTCCGAACGATTTGCTAATGTAGCCCTTGCAATATCATATTCATTGCTTCGATAATGCAAACTTTTGAACCTGATGAGTATTAAAAAGCATAAACTTTACCGGAGCACTAGAATAAGGATAAAGGCTTGCTTCTACTCTCAAAGAGGACGAATAGCTAGTACGCCGTGATAATGATGCCACGCTATATTCCTGTAAAGAGAAAGACCTGCTAACTAGACGCTAAGATAGTTGCGGCTAGCGCAAAGCAATCAAATCACAGAATCTCAATTTTCTCCATGTACGCCAAGACTAATATACAATCTACGCTGTGAATCGCGATCACCATGCCAAACCCTCCTGATTAGTTTGACAAGCCAGTCCTGAGCAGAACTTGATGTCTTTCCCGCTCACTAGAGCAGTGCTCGGTAGTTGCTGGCGAGCAGGCCATATCTCCTGCTTCGCCGCCTGTTCGCGCTTGTGATGGGCCTGCACGGTTTCTCGGACTGTCTTCTGGAAAAAGAGAGAGCCCTTCTCCATCTTTGGGTGCATCTCCCCATTGACAAAAACTCCGGAATCGAGATTCTTCTGTGCAAGGTCACACAGATATTTGTCTTCCGTCATGACGCGCTTATAGAGTTGGTTAATCCTTTGGAAATCCTCTTCGGCGGAGTTCTTGTTCCGGTAAACTTCATACTGCATTGAGCAGCTCGTATGCCCACTGGGGACAAACCTCTGCATGTAAAAGAAGTGTGGCCTGTCTTGTGTTAGCGGGGCTAGGAATATGACGAATTAATATACTTACGAGATAGTCATAGAGGTGTTGGGGAAGAAGTAGGTAGGAGCAACTGATAGACCAGCTGCCGCCTGCTCAGCGGTGGTGGCAACGTTATGTTGAATGGAGTTCCCCTCGGTGTTGACTGAGTAGGAGCTGAGATCGGCAATTGCCGGAATGTCAGGATGGGCCGTCTTGCAGTGGTAGCATTCGTTATAGTTGTCGGCTAGAATCTTCCAGTTGTGTTCTCCAACCATTTCCCAGGTGTGGTCGAATTCATAGTCATCCCAGTTGACCCCGTCGTACCTTGGAAGCTTGTCAACACCCTCAAAATCATCCGCCCAGGCAATCTCTGGCTTGTCTTTGCCATCCAAGTTGACCCAGATAAAACCGTTTTGGTCAATGTAGACGTGTATAGGGAGGAGACCATTTTTACTTTTGTCGAAATCGGGCAGGTCTTGATAGCCAGGGGCTTTGGCGAGCTTGCCGTTGAGACCATAGGACCAGCCGTGATAGAGACAAGCAAAGATCTTGGCTTGGCCCTTCTCCTCGGTGACCACCGGGAAAGCTCGATGTCGGCAGACATTGTGGAATCCATTGATGTTGCCCTCGCGGTCCTTACACAGCACAAACTGGAAGCCTGCTGTCTCAAAGCGCAGATAGTCGCCAGGCTGCTTGAGTCTGAGTTTGTGGGTAACAAGCATCCATTTCCTGGAAAAGATTGCCCGCCTCTCGAGCTCGTACATCTCCTGTGAGGTGTACCATGAGGCTGGCAAAGCCCGGACTGCTGAGTTATCGTTACTGGCAGGCGTAGAGCCACCGAGGCCAAGATATTCCAAGAATGATGACATTGTCAGAGTGAATAAGCCAAGTACTGTAATGCTGAGTACCGTAAAATTCAGACAGGCTGAAAATCTTTGAGGCTGAAAATCTGAAGCTTCTGGCCAGAGTCAAGTTTCTCATAGCTTGTTCTTATCTTGTCACCTTATCATGGTCTGTAATACCACATTAGGGAGGGCAGTCCGTACTTCAACGAAGCCGTGGTACCTTGATCATGCTTTGCAGGACCTGAACTGATTCAGCAAGTATTCCGCAAGCAGAAACGGCCTCTTGGTTTCATGGTGCCCAAGGAGAAGCTCATGTGGCGTAATCCACCTGCGATAACCGGCATATTCGAAGATGCTGACTGGTTCTTAGCTTATCATGATCCTAAAAATCGTAGATAACGCATCGGTGGACCGCTATCCTAACATGGTATTCAAAACCATCGACCGACTCACCTTTAAGCCAAGAGAGCATGCATGATCGACCTCGTTGCGGGTTGGCCCGAAGCAACGGAATCAATAGTTAGCCCTCATCTCACAATCCCTGACTAGTGAACGGGAACGCGCAATTGAAGCTGTAGGTTCTGCAGCTGATGAGTTGAAGGTCGTTTTGACTTTAACCATGAATAGGTAAAGTTCACCGGTTGTACGTAATAAGCTTTCGGGTGGCGCTACCGTGGAACACACATCCGAACGGGATCGCCTGCACCCATAGGGAAATAGCAGGTGCGGAAGCAGAGATCTTCGCAAGGAAGGGGATTACAATGCTACTTTGAGACGATAGCTTATGCAGCCACAAACGGGCAAAGATAAGGACATAAGAGCTAGTACAGTGTACTAGAGAGATTTAGCGAGTGAGAACAGCTAGTTAATATAGAAGGTAGCGTTTGAGAGTAGACTGTATCCCTAAGTAGAGAAGTACTAAGGCTAAGTATTAGTTGCAAACTCTATTCTACTGCATCTAGATTAATCTATTGATAACTAGAGTATTAATATCTATCTATTAGATAAATTTATAGTATAAGATAGATTTTATCTAAGTGTAGATGCTTTAGAAGATCTTTTCTATTTCTTATATGATTTACTCGTAGATTTATATAGTATATTAAGAGAGAGTAAATAGTAAGTCTTAGAAGATAATGATAAAGAGTTAAAATGATCTTTCTTGTATTTATATAGTATAGACTCCTATCGCTCTATATCTATAGCTGGTTCCTAATATATACTAGATACTTCTTCTCTAAGATTTTAGTTTCTTAGTCTATATCTTAGTTTCTCTAGTCTATATTCTAGTAAAAGAAGCTAGAAAAGTTAAATTTAGAATCTTATATAGTAAATCTTTACTTAGTTATTTATTCTTTAATAGAGAAGATTCTAAACTATCTAGGCTATAAGAGTTTCTTCTGTTATATTTATATACTATCTTTCTTCTTAAAAGAATCGCTTTAAATTCTACAAAGCCTGTATTAAACTAGAATCACAAGTCTAAAATATCTCTATATTAAGCTTGAAAAAGTCTAATATTATACAAAGAAAAACATATAGTAAGAATAAAGAACCTAGTAGAAATAGTAAATATAAGCTTATAATATTCTATTTAAGCTTACTAAAGTAGTATTATATTAGATATAGATACTAGCTATATTAGTGTTTTACTTTGCAGCTTAACTAGCTCTAAGTTGCTAGTATATAGCTTAGGTAACTTTAGTTACTTAGAGTTAGCTCTAAGCTATTAGATTTTACTACTAGATTCTTAGAGTTATCTTAGAGCTACTAAGTCACTTAGTAAGTAGAAACTTTTAGAGTTCTTCTCTTACTTAATTTTCAATCCTAGCTAGTAGAGATAGAATATCTATATTCTTAAAAATTAAGTGATTCAAACTTAGTGCTTTTAAAAGTTCTATAGATGTATATCTAAGCTGTCTATATATAGTGGTTATTAAAGCTAGATAGATAGAGCTAGATAGATAGAGCTAGATAGAACTAGATAGATATAGTAGCTTAGTAGCTAAGCTTATAAGATAGTGCGATCTAGATAAGATAGTATAATTTAAATTAAACTAGTAGTAAATTAAATTATCTTATAAGTCGCTTATAAGCCATTTAGAAGATAAATGTAGACTTACTATCATAAGATAATTAAGATTATAATAAAGATTAGGGCTCGAATTAAGAAAGTAGAAGCTAATACCAAGAAGTAATTAATATAATTAAAATTAATTTTATATAGTAATAACTAGATAAATTATAAAGAATTTACGATTCTTTTGTAAGTTAAGAAAACTATTCTAATAAATAAGAATAATACTATACAGATACTATAGCTTTATATTAATGTCTTTAAATTATAATTAGTATATTCTAGTCTGCTTAATTCTAATTATACTAATTAGACTAAGAACTTCTTAGCACTAAGCTATATATAGTTCTATAAATGCTATTTTAATCAAGTATATCTTGGTAGCTCTAGACTAAGTCGCTCTAAATACTCTATACTTTTATATATATAATAAGTTATAGTTAAAGAATTCTCTTATAAAAGACATTCTTTCAAAAAGCGCTCTATATTCTCTCTATAATCTCTTTACACAAATCTTTAATTCTTTATAATAGTAATAAGCTCTATAAGCTTGAATCTATATAAATTATAATATGTATTTTTAAGTTAGCTAACTCTTTCACTCTATTATAACTATCATATTCTTTCTAATTTTCTTTATACATTGTTTAAGTAAATATCTATTAATCTTAATAAAGATATCAAGCATATATTATAGTTTATTAAGCTATTCTTGTAATACTAAACTTTTCTTAACATTCTTTTTTAGTTGTTAGTAATGCTATATAGTTTAGATTATATTATTCTAACTAGTATCTACTACTATTTGCTAAAACTAGATATTATAGAATGTAACAAAGTCTTTTTATACTAAACTTATAAATTCTTTCTCTATAGTATATTTAGTGCTAGTACTTCTAAGTATATAGGAAATTTTTTTCTTAAAAGACTCTATATTTATAATTAAAGCTTTTATTACTACTTTTAGCTAGATTATAAATCCTTAAAGAACTTTTTATAATATAGTTAGATCTATCTAACTGCTTCTCTTATAAGATAGATAATTATAAATACAACTTTATTTTCTATCTAGAATTATACTTAATTATACTTTATATATAGAATATATTCTAGTAAATATATTTTTAGTTTATATCCATCTCTATAATTCTTATCTAAGCTTCTAATTATAATAGAGTTTTTATATAAGAATATCTTTATAGTCTAACTTTATAATCACTTTATAATAGATTCTATAGTAGATATATTAGCTTATTAACTATAGATGTCTTCTAAAGTTAGTACGAAAAGTATAATAAGAATTATCTTATAATGATATAAGTTACTATAATAGTTAGTGTTCTAATTAAAAAGATAGAAGGTAATACTAAGATATAGTTAATAAGAATAAGAATTTATATGATCTAGTAATAATAGACGAAGTTGAATAAAATACTAAATTCTTATTAAAGTTTAGTATATTATTCTAATAGATAAGAATAGTATTATCTATATATAATAGCCTTAAGCTAGTATCTCTATACTCTATTTAGTCTAATTAATCTACTTAGTTCTAATCGTACTAACTAGACTAAGCATTTCTTAGTACCAATCTATACTTAGTTCTACATGTAATATTCTAACTAAATATATTATAGTATATCTTAGTGCTTTATATTACTATATTTATAATCACTATAAAGAATATACAAGTTATAGTCTCTAATAGATAGTATATACTATAGAAATTGGAGGTTAATAGAACTTATAAGATTCTCTCAAAATAGTAGAATTCTAGGAAACTAAGAGAATTAAGAGATTAAGACACAAATATACTACTAGAGACTCAGAGTATATAGACAGCACTATTCTTATTTATTAGAGTAGTATAATAAACTTAAATAAAAATATAGCATTTTAATAATCTAGTTCAACTTTAGTACAGAATATTAATTGTTACCTTATTAACTATATCTCAAAACCATTCTCTTTGTCTTAAATTAGAATTCTAACCTTTATAGTAATTTCTATTATTCTACAATAAAGTCTCGTTACAAAGTAGATACTAGAACTTGATTTATTAAGTAGAATATAAGATACTATATGAGAATTAGAAGATCTATAAGCTTTATAGTAAGAGAACTCTTTATATAAAACCATGCAACCTCGGAGTAATAGAAGATATAAGTACTAGAAATTACTAAATTCAAATCGTAATATACTTTAAACTATATATAGCTAAATATAGTATAGTAGATTAAGCTTTAGATACTTAATACACTTAGTATATTTAGTATGCTTAGTATAATTACTATACTTAGTATATTTAGCGTGTATAGAATATTCTATATGCATAGTATACTTAGCGTACTTAAGTTTCTTATAGTTCTTATACTTTTTATATTTACCATATCTTTTATATCTCTTGTATTTTTAGAATATATAGATCTACTAAGCTACTTACTAAATACCTTAGTTAATAAAACTATCTAGTATTCTTTTTTTTACTTAACTTTCATTTCTTATTTGAAAGAAATAAATATCTATATCTTTAAACCTTAAGCAGCTAATAATTATTATTCTTAAAGTTTCTCCTATATATACTAAAGCTTATTAATAGGTAGTGATAGTTATAACAAAGCTAAATAGACTTAGAGCTAGACTTATAGTTCTTTTATAACTTTGTAAGTTTTATTTACAAAGTAACTCAATATATTTCTTTATTTTAAGAAGTATAAAAAATATAAAAATTACAAATTACTTGAGTATAATAAGTATTCTAAATATATATTAAGCATTCAAATTAATTTAGTATTTCTATAAGTAGTTTATAAGCTGAATATACGCTAAATATAGACTTAGAATCCTTGAAACTATATATAATATACTAGGAAAAACGATTTTTTTATTAATATAAGATATTAGTTCTTCTATATATGATTATCTAACAATAATTTGCTTTAAATTA